TTATTAAGAAAGTGAAAAGATAACCTACAGAATGTGAGAAAATGTTTGTGAATCACATACAAGGGTACTTCAAAAAGGTCATGGAAAGACTTGTATTGTCTTTCAATTCTATTTTTCCACAAACTTTTGATGTACCCTTGTATTTGGTAAGGGTCTAGTATCCAGAATATAAAAAGAACTCTTACAACTCAGCAACAAAAAGACAACCCAATTAAAAAATGGGGAAAGAACTTGAATAGACTTTTCTCCAAAGGAGATATACAAATGTCCAACGAGCACAGGGAGAGATCCTCAACATCATTAGTTATTTAGGGAAATGCATATCAAAACCACATGAGGTACCACTTCACACCCAATATGATTGTGTGTGTGTGTGGGGGGGTGCTGGCTGGCTGAGGATTGCTATTTTAAAAAAATGAAAATTAAAAAGTGTTGGAGAAGATGTGAAGAAGTTGGAACCTTTGAACATTTCTGGTGGGCATGTAGAGTAGTTCAGCCACTGTGGGAAGCAGTTTAGTGGTTCCTTAAAAGGTGAAACTTAGAATTACCATATCATCCAACGATTCTACTCCTAGACATATACACGAAAGAAGTGAAAGCAGGGAGTCACCACAGATATGTGTATGCAAATGTTCACGGCAGCACTACTCACAACAGCCAAAATATGAAAACATTTCAAATGTCCACCTCAGTTCAATGGATAAACAAATAGCAGTTTATACATACAATGGAATGTTACTTAGCCACAAAAAGGAATAAAGTAGGGATACATGCTACAATATAGATGAACCTTGAAACCTTATTGTACATGAAAGAAACCAGATACAAAAGGCAACATACTATATAATTCCATTGCTATGACATGTCCAGAATAGGTTAAGTCCATAGGACAGAACAGATATTAGTGATTGCCAGGGACTGGGAAAAGCTGGGAATGAGGAACAGCTGCTTAGTGTGTACAGGGTTTCCTTTCTGGGTGATAAAATGCTTTGGAACTAAACAGAGGAGATAGTTGTACACACCATTATGAATGTACTAAATGCCAGTGAATTGTTCACTTTAAAATGGTGAATATTGTTATGTCAATTTCACCTCAATAAGAAAAGGTAACAAAGAAGAAAAGATAATATTGTCGGGGTAATTTGATTAGAGGCAGTTTTTTTTTTTTTTTGTCTTTTGTGTTTTTTTCCGTGTCTGGCAACGGATCGCAAACCTCAGTGTTGCCCCCGTACCAGACCGGGGACCGGCAACGGGATTGCAACCCTCGGTGTTG